AAAGGAAATGAAGGAAGAAACAAGAGCAGACCAAGAACTCCTGAAAGAAGAAATACTGCCAAAGATGGAAACCAACGAAGAAAAGATGATGGCCAGGATGGGTTCCCAGCTAGGGAAAATGGACACCACGGTTTTGGCGGCCATTACAGAAAATTCTGAAGACGCAGCGGAGTAGCAGGAAGCCCCTGAGGAAGAGGCCGTCACGGAAACTATGGGAGTACTGGAGGACCAGCATCTAGCCGCTGGGCGTCGCCGAGAGCAGAAGAAACGGACTCAGGGCGATTATGGGTCCCGGAGGAAGTGGGCAGCCACCCGCAGACGGATGATCCCCCGTTCGTTCCCTCGTGGCGTAAGGGACGCCATCATAAAGGGCAAAGGGTACAGAAGAGACTACGGAAGGGCCCGGAATGCAACAATGGAATAAGGAAGCGAGGATTGAAAGAGCAGCTACGCCTGGAAAACAAGAAAACGTTCAACAAGACAAATGTCAACTAGGCCCTGAAACAAATCATAGCGCAGGTTGTCAAGCTAGCAGCTGGGTCTTCCATGCGTATTCGAAAAATGGCATCAAAGAGAAGCCGGCAACCGCCCAAGCGAAAGAAAAAGACTACTAGTAGATTAAAAGCCAGAGATGTACGAGCATCGACCACTCTCTGAACTTTGTCCGCGACGGACGGAAAGGAACCCTAAATCGTGGTTGGTGGTACACCTGGACCGGTTCGCACCTCGTCTCTAAGGAGGGAATAGCCGGAGCAGTTGGAGAGTAATCACCATTAGAACCGAGCAATGGGGAAGGAAGGCGAGGCAGGAAACAAACGTCACAAGTACAACCCTCAGAAAAGAAATGGCGGTATGCCTTAGGGTGTAATGAAGCATTCGGGCCCGTTGCTAAGTAATGGCTTAAACAACGCCCGCTGCTAGGCAACAGATTCCTAACAAGCAACAACTGAACTATAACAATGAGCGGTGTCTTTTATGTGGTCCGAGCAGGGGTGTTGGAGGCAGGCCAGGTCTAGAGCTTACTTTCCTTTTATTGCTAGTGGGGTGGGGCTAAGTCCCTTGTACTGCGGCCACTTCTGGCCTAGTGTACCAGCCTCATATGATGGGTGAGGGTGATTGTGGAGCAACTTGTGGAATGAAGATTGGCAGGGGAAACCGAAGTACTCGGAGAAAACCTGTCCAGCGCCACTTTGTCCACCACAAATCCCACTTGACCAGACCCGGGATTGAACCCGGGCCGCCGCGGTGGGAACCCAGCGACTAACTGCTTGAGCTATGGCGCGGCCTTAGAATGAAGTGCAGTACAGGGAAGTGAAGAGTCGGTTGGTGGGTTAGTGAGCAGTCGAAGAACTGCAGTTCAGTCGTTGTGAGCTGCTGTTGTTAAAAGCTGGTAGCTGAGGTACGGGAAACGCCCGCAGTTGAAACCGTTACCAGGAAGCGATTAGTGAATACACAGCACACTGAGAAGACTTGGTACGCGCCGCAGTGAACTGCTGATTGTGCGAATCTGTGATAGCGTTATAGTTATTTGTAGTTAAGATCTGTGTTCAGTAAATCAAAACACCGTTTAGAGTCATTTTAACATGCGACAATAAGTAAAATACAGTATACGTGTATGCGTGTCGGCACGAAGTACGATCGTCAAGTGCTTCTGCAGGACAGTGCATGCTTCACCATGATTTCTACTGCATATCTTCCTGTTTTCTCCCTTCGGCACAGCCTGGTCTAAGGTATTTATTTATACTTGTATAGCTGTAGTTAATGTGGTATATTTGACCAAAGAACTGTGTAGCCAAAAAACAGCCACTGGCACATAACATGTGTAAAAAGGCGACAGTAAAACATCCGCTGTTAGGGAACACGTTGTTTCCCTGGTAACGAGAAAACACGCAATAATGGAACAAGGAGAAGTCGTACAAAATTATGATAACGAAAATGTTCGCGATATTGGACAAGGTGAAGCCCGAAACAGAATGTATAAGAGGCTTAAACTTGGCGGTGGTCAAGCATACGACGGTTCAAGTGAGCAGACTGCCGCTGTAGCTGAAGCTACTAGAAATAGGGCATAATCTGCTGTACTGAGCCTGACAGACAGATGGCCTTTATATATTCAATGCATTCATTATCATGTTTAACATGTAAAATGTAAATATCCTTTACGTTATGACAAATGACTTACTACTATATACAACTCTGATAAAAGACAGACCCGTCCTCTCATCAGAGAGGGTGCCCCACAATAACAAGACCTAAACTGAGTAATAAATATCTGGTCATGAGCCCATATTGGGCTCAACACCAAGATGGACTGACCGACAGTCAGTCACAATGTGACTTTGACTTGATTACGAGTCCTGAGACAGCAGTTAGAAGAGTTTGAGATTGGTGTCAGATGGCCGCCAGCCTATGAGGATGTGAGCCCGGGAGAAGAGGCATGTCCACAGTTGGAAGATTTTACCAAGCAGCACAGTGAAGATCGTGACTCAGAACACTTGCCTTTGTGCGTTGTAAAGAGCAGTCATGAGTTGTGTGTTAAGATGTTCAATAAATCCGATTACCAATCTAAACCCCATCTACAGTAAATCATATGACATTATACTGACATGGGTTGTCTAGAGATTGTGGTTAGCTCTTTCCATAGGACACAACAAAGTTGGTGTCTCCCCTTCACGAGGGAACTGAAACAGATCTAATTTCCAAAACGTTGTATTCTGTGGTTTTTAGAATACCGGACAAAGATAACCCAGTAATTTTTGTATAGCTCCAAGTTTTATCTTCTATACTAGACAAACATGAGTGGTTAGCCTCACATCCAGGCTGCTTTACCCAGATAGGGAAAGTGATTTTCTGTACTCCAAAGTGTCGAGACCGGCTCTGGCACCCACCCAGCCTCCTACCCAGTGGATACCTCGTGCTGTTTCCCTGGGAGTAAAACAGCTGGTGCATGAAGGTGGACACACAATCAACTAGTGCAGAAGTTGAGAATACGTGAATCTATATGTTCACTCCTCCATGTCTTCATCGCAAAGCGCTTAGTTAGTTGGGCACTGGGACTTCACCTTTACCCATTGCACAGGATGGGAAGACCCTAGAGCATGACTGAATGCAGTAGCAAAGGGGGACATCCCTGCAAATCACAGATTGAACTTGTCTCAAACCCATAGACTATTCCTTACATCAACTGAGCTACCCATCTCTTTAATGCACAGATAATGTAATAAACTTTGTCTCACAAATCAGAGCTTCCAAAACCAGTCAGAAGGATGTGCTGTTTGATATGGTTCTCAGGAAAGCCAATGAGACACCCCTATACATGTTGAACACCATCTTGAATGTGATGGTAAGTGAAGTTGTCCCTGTGCTTAACTAATTAAGCACTTTGCCATGAAGACACATAGGGGAGTGGATGTGTAGACCAATGCTTTCTTGACTTCCGCTGTAGTTGGAGGTGAGGGGTCAGCTTCACGCCCTAGAACGTGATGGTAGCATAAGTTTATAAATGTTCGGTGGCACAAAACGCCTCTGAATCATTGGTAAACTAATCACATTAAACAGCGTCACATCACATACAGCACTACTCTTCAGTCACTGCATGAGTACCTCTGATTTCAAAAGTCAAAAGATACTACTACAAAATGATATTACTATAGTCACATGACAGGGCATCACCAAGAAGTAATGAATTACTGACCAGCATCCTGACAAACTGAATCACAATATATGATCAGTGATGTAATTGTACACTCAAGTGTGAACAATCTGCACTGTCAGGCAGCCAGGAAATATAATAAAGCGTCCCACCACAATAAACCCAACCACTTGAAACTTGCAAGACTAACCCCAGAATTCACAGAGTCCTTCCTCCATGATAACACGTTGAAAGTTGACCTACAAGTGAACAATTCTCATGTCGTACTTCTTTTGGCTTATTTTGGACTTCACCCATCGTCTGGTATGTAAAAGACAAAAAGGCAAAAAACCACGACGTTTTGGAGACAGATCCAGTCTCCGAAACGTATGAAAGTCAAATAATTATTTGTATATACACAAAATCCCCCTTTATGCAGCATGTATGGTGCATGGGGTTTGCCAGCTCCATAACACAACCTCAGCACAAAGTCATAAGCAACACAGCAGAATTATGGGTGAATGATTTGGGATACATGTACTGTAATGCAATCACATATTCACCTAGCCTCTACCGTAATTGCATTATTATGCAGCAGCACTGCAAATGGGGGCTGGGAGAAATACTGCATGACAGGAGAACATATGACCATTGCAAAACTTGCATGCATAGTGGATAATCGGGAATTTACCATACTGGTGAAGTAAAGAACTTCATGTGGCCAGTTAGTTAGTTAGTTATTTAGAGAGGGTTGGTTTCTCCATGCATCGTGACCATTTTGATCTATTGTGCTTCCCTCTATGATATTCTACAAGTCTCTTTACCCTACCGATAAATGGTGCGTACCATCAGTCCTGCCGAGCAAGCGAGTTTGGCCACTTGCTTAGCGGTGTCTATAATGTTTCCCCCATCTATAAGAGGCCTTAGAGACTATTGTTGGGCAGGAAATGTCCTGGAATTTGGATCAGTGATCCCCTTTGGGGATATGAGGTTCTTTTACGTGCCATAAAGTTATGACACAGGACACACAGCTTAAAGTCCCTCCCGGAGGACTTGGTCCCTGAATTTTTCCGCCCTTAAAAATTCGACGACCTCCACCAGGTATTTGAACCGCGTACCACGAGTTATGAGGTGGGAACGTTACCTCTAGACTACGGAGGCCGCTATGTGGCCAGCTATGTTGTCATATAAACACTAACACAGTAAATTATGTAGGGATATTTGTATGTGCTGTATTTTCAACACTGATTCATAATTTATTATCAGTGTTCAACCTCCTCTGAACTTACTTGAATATTCTATGGTGATTTACTTCTTACACCTGAATGCAGTAATATGGATGTCACTGCTCTACAATGCCAAACATCAAGAATGAATTTTACTAAATACTTTATTTTGTCTTTTTACAGTTTACTTTGTTGAGTGAAGTAATCAACATGACTGTGTCCATAAAAGAGTGATTATAATTTATGACACAGAAAAGCAAACATACAATGAATCTGAATATATATGTTGACACAAACCAGCAACTTTCATTGGTGACATGAACACAAAGGCTAACAAGTTAATTTATAAAACTAAATGGCAGATTATGTAATGTATATCACTACAAAATAAGCCATAAAATGTTACTATTATTAACATAAAACACTCTGTTCCCAGTACACATTTAGAATCAGAATTTATTCATTGTTTGAACAAACTACCATACAAAATATGATGCAACGATACTGGATTAATGTCTGATGATGCAGCAGAAGATCCCTGCAATTATACTAAGTCTACCAAGCATGGGATTTAATAAATGACTTGTTTCGTTCTTTCATTTCCTCTTTCTTTTGTGCTTTCACCTTGTTCAAAAATTTATCCATTTCTTCAATGCTGTTCTCAGGAGGAAGCCTGGGACCCTCTGGAACTTTATGCCCACTTTTATCATCTGATTCCTTTTCTGCCCATTTACCTTCATACATCTTCCGATCTACATAGTTTGAGCTTGATTCTCTAGAGGGTGGACCACCAGGAGGCAATGGGGGTAGCCCATAATCATCATCATCAACTGCTTCCCCTTCACTTAGTGGTTCATCTCTAGACTTACTTGGAACTGAGCTAGATTCCTCTTTCTTATTTTCTTCAGCAATGTACTTGTTAATTTTCTCCTTAACTGCATCAACTTTTTTCATTGGATCATCATCTTCACGACTGTAACTCCGTCGATCATCACTATCCCTGGATCGAGGCCTTCCATCGTAACGACGACTGTGGTAATCCTTATAACCAGACCCAGGTTTGTAATGGAAGAAGCGCCCCCTACCTCGTCCTCGACCACGATGAACAAACGGCCTGCCCCTTCCTTGAGGAAACTTCTGATGGAAATTTCTACCTCCACGCGACGTAAAGTTGCCACGTGGGTTTTTATAGTTCTGGAATCGAGGGCGATAGTAAGTACCACGATTTCGTGGGTAACGCCCCTGGTGATATCTGTTCATGTGATAATCATGCTTCCTTCGCCTGTCATCAGACTGACTTCTACTACGACGGTGGTAATGACCATCCTCTGAACGAGAGCGACTACGTGAATACCTGTCATAAGATCGACTACGACTGCGATATGAACGAGATCGCGAACGTGATCCAGAGCTCCGATATCGAGGATATGAACGTGATCTTGAACGACTGCCATACCGGCCATATGATCCTGACCTGGATCGTCGACGTTCATAAGAGCCAGATTTTGATCTGCTCCGATTCTTTCTGTATGAACGTGAACGTGAGCTGCTGTTACTTGATGCACGACTGTATTTCTCACGGGACCTGGAACGACTATGTGATGACTCGCCTGATGAAACTTCTCCAGCACGAGGCTGAGGCTGCTGTGTTTGTTGTTGTTGCTGCTGCTGTTGTTGTTGTTGCTGCTGCTGTTGTTTCTTCTTCTTCTTCTTTTCTGAATCTGAAGTATCACTCTCACTGTCAGTTCTGGGGCCCTTCGGCTGAGAAGATGCAGCAGGTGCAACAGCTGCAGGCTTACCTCTGCCTACAGATGAATAGGCAGTCTTTGGAGGGACACCTGGAGGAAGAGGAGGTAAATCATCTGTTTTTTTATCCAGCACACGTGGATTGATACGGAAACCTCCCTGGTACTTCTCCATAAACTGCTGAGTCTTGCTGACTGTATCATCCCGCACTTCATCTGAACCTTCATTCTTCACCTTCTCAGAACTCATCTTATCAGGCAAATCCCTCACTGCCCCCTTTTTCACTTGAAACTTCTCATCTGCTACTGGTTTCTTCTTTCTCTCACCTTCTTCTTCACTACCAGCTTTGTCAGCATCATCTTTAATAAATATGAATCTCTTCTCTTCTACCTCTTCCCATGGCTCCTTGTCCATCTGTGTCTTATCCTTTTTCTTAAGTCTGAAAATATTTACATGTATATCACAACTATATTTATAAAATAAAATACGAGTACACACACCACACATAACCTTGCATATAATTACTATTAATTACATACAACATATTAATATCAGCTACATGTTTTGCTCTTAAAGGTCATCAGCAGGCTATAATACATATCATAAATTCACTGATCCGTTGTCCAAATTGGGCTGGATATTGAACTCGTCAAAATAAGACTTAATTTGCAGAAGTACAATCATGTCAACAGCAAACAACCACACACAACCAAAAGCACCAAATAACCATAATTTACACTGTCATTCATAAACAAAATTGCAAGGAATATAGTTATTAAATGTTATACATACTTAGCAGAAATATATTCATCTATTGAATAAAAAGCATGTGTTGTGAGGAAACTTTTCAGTGTGTGTGTGTTTAAAAATCTTCACATTATCACTCATTCTCTGTATATTTTGAAGATTATTATAAACCATAATGGATGAATACAACACGCCTCTCCGGATTGAAGATAATCTCACTGATGAGTCATCAGTGATGACACATGTAGCTTTCCAAACTGTCTAGTATTTATATTATTATTACTGTTGGTTTGAAAAAAATTGTGATTTCTAACAAACATCAATATAGAATAGATATATAGGCTATAATACATTCATTCTAAAGAATCATCATTTATAGCATAAATACTGGCCATCACACAGAAAGCAAACACATACCCATGAAATATATATATATATCATAAAATTATTACAATATTTATAATCTTGCACAAGTCACCATCATAACATCTGGTTCAATTATGGCAAATCCATCCCAGCAGCTGTATGGCCTATGAACATTCAGATGAGACACTAAGCAATAAAATTCAAGAAGAAAACCCTGCCTACAACAGTCCATCAAAAAAATATAGAAACATCTGTGCATGCAATATAATGAATCAACACATTATCATGTTATCAAATGTTCATAACAGTGAATTAGTGAATGGATGCATGGGATGCAATAGGCAAATAGGACTCTCAATTAACTCCCTGACATGTGTAACAGTAACTTCTGTGTCACACTGGCCAATATTTACAAAATAAGGAACAGATTTATCAGAATGATGTACTGTAGCCTAATGACAACCTTTGAAGTCAAAACATGTAACTAGGAGTAAGTGGCATTGTATATAATGAATAACAACTGCATAAAAGGTTGTGACAGTGCAAATATGTGTACTGACAGAAAAAGCGTAACATGGTGCCCAAGTATGTTTCACAAAACATAAGCTCAAGAGATTAAAACACACTAATATCATAGTGTTCCTCACCTTGATGGAACAGACCCAATCTGCATTTTCCACTTGGCAGCCATAACTGTTGCAGCTTCCGACTCTGTTAATTTACCTTTGTTGTCCCTAGGTGGTGATGGAGATTCAGCAAAAATATCCATCTTTTTCTTTTCTACAATAATAAATAACAATAACACATCATTAAGGTTTTACAAAATTAACAGATATGACAATATTTAATCTTTTCTGAAGTGGTTATACAGACACATAATAGTAAACAGGACTATTTCAAGATTTTTCAAGTCTTTAGCATTACCCAAACTGAGAAATCTTAAGATTCTTCACGTGCTCACAACCTCACCTCACGTGGTGTCATTTATAAGAAAAAATTCACACCAATATTGCAACTACCAAACATTCTGAGCAGATAGTCATTTTTTTAAACCATGTATATGGACAGCCAAGCATGCACATTAAACTCTTCTGCCTCACTTTTCAGTAACTTCATTAGACAGATTCTGCAATGCAGATTTTCTAGAGGCCCTAGATGGTGGGTTAATGACACCTTTACAAAGTTCCTGCTACATACAGTCAGGGTAATATTTGCAAATAATTATAAATCACAAATAATGAAAAAACTGCTGTGCGAAAACTCTTCTTTCAAGCGAAAATTCTTTTTCTCTATATATGTAATATCACGAAACTGATCCTATGATTTTTACTGGCATAATGAAGTTCTTGCGATATTTATCATACTAAAGTACACTGCATTTTCATGAGCACTCAAATTCACATCCACTTTTAAACTTTCAGAGGCTGGACTTTTGAAATGGTGGGAAGCTTGAGCAGGCCAGAATTTATTTAAATGCCCGTTGCTACTCAGCATTTAAATGTCTGCTCCTGTTAGGTCGCTTAAACAATTTTAAGCATTGTGTTTAAAAATGCAAGACATATTAAAGGAAGAAACACCATATGACATATTTTTAATATGGAGCAGAATTTATCTTTTAAACAAAAATATTCAGAAATACATTTTAAAAAGGAAAAAAACCCTATGAGGAGGGTGATATTCTGAAATGTCAAAAATCACCAATATATGCCAGAGGAATGGTTCTGAACTCAACAGGAAAGCTTTGAACTACTATTCAGTTCAGAATTTTGTTATCCTCAGATGTTCTACCTCAAAACCAGGAGATTAAATAATTAATTAATT